TGCACCATGGTAGGTGGCTTCAGCCCCAGTGTGTGTGGAGGAGTCCCTGCTGTCCTCACAAGTTTGGGAGAGAGGCAGTTAATGCATTTAGTGATGCCTGTCCATCTCCTTTGCTGAGATCATGCTGATCTTTCTGTTTCCAGATTGTGGTTCTGTCCTTCTGCCTCATTCTGTCCCCCAGCATCCGCTTACCCGGGAGCGTAGAGCCACAGCGGGAGCTCAAGGGTGAGTGCCCAGGTTGGGGCTGAGGTGTGGCTCCAGGTGAAGTGCTGCCCTTCAGAGCACAGCATCCTCCCCAGAGACAGCCTGAACTCTGGGGCACTTCCAACTCATCATGCCCTTGCCTGAGGTGACCACTAGCTTTGTCTTGCTGTCTTGCCCCAGCTCTGAACTCTTCATCAGCCTTGCTGCAGAGGCCTGCCTGGAAGCAGGGCCCTGTGCCAGGGGTGGTGCAAGGACAGGAGAGTTCCGGTCCCTCTTGGAGCACAAACTGTGCTTGTGCCTGGCAGCTGTGCAGCATCCTCTCCCCGCCTCCCCTGGGAAGAGGAAGTCCTGGTTAAACAGTTTGTCCTCTGTCCTGGGCTCTGTGGTGGCTCCATGCTCAGCACAGGAGGGTGGGAGGCTGGAAATGACACGGTTGACTCTACCTCTCTTACAGTGCTGTCACGGCAGATCCGCGAGTTTCCGAACCAAGGAGCACCTGATGTGCAGCACGACACTGAGCTGGAGGGCTTCAGCCCAGAGCCTGGAGACTCCTTGCTGTCGGGCAACCTCAGTCAGTCATGGGAAGAGGGGCAGAGTCCATTTAACTCTAGTCCCAGATCTTTCAACAGCAACTCATCCTCTGACCCTCCGGCAGCAGCAGGCTCCAAGCCAGGCCCGCCTCAGAGTGACCCTTTGCCGGCAGCAGTGCTGGTGCCATGGAAATCCAAGAGTCAGGAGTGGGTAGAACACCCTGACAGAGTTCTCATTCAACAGCACCATGCCAATGAGATGTGACCAGTGCTGCATCCTACTCCTAGGGATGATGCTGGGCATCCTGTGGAGCAGGGTCAGAGTTGCACTAACAGATTATCTATCCAAGCAGTTTCTTCTGAATACTCTCCTCATTGCCAGCAACGCGGAGGGTTTACCAGGGAGGAATCGATCTGACATTTTTTATCAGACTCCATCTGAGATGGGACAGGAAATTCTGAGAACTTCACTATGGCTGCTGATGTGGCTACCAGAGTGCACCTGGTGGCTTTTGGGGATGGGCTGTAGCAGGGAGTCAGTCTGAGGTGCCAGTACTTGCTCTGACTGGATGCAGCTAGCAGTGCAGGCCACTGCCCTGCTTCTTCACTGCCCAGCTGGAGATGAACAGGCAGTTCTTACTCTGTGTTGTGGCCCCAAACATATGTTCCATATCAGTGCCCTGTAATCCTGCAGTGCTGCCTGATTTTTAGGTGTGAGGGAGCAATTTGATCTTCATTGCTCTCACAGGAGTAGTTCTACCTGCTGCTGCAACAGACCCAGCATGTCACCTGTTCCTGCTAGCTTTTGAGCCATGGCCACAGCTCCCAGCCTGGCTAGAGAAGGTAATGTGGAGTCCTTCCTGAGCCATGTGTGCTGTTTGCCTACTCTAAGGGCTGAGCCTTTTATCTCCTGCAGGCTTTTGGGCTTCAGGGAGCAGGCATGCCTTGAGCCAGACTGCTGAGGCAGCATGTTCAGAGAGCAGCAGAGCTGCTTGCTCTTCTGAAGGCTTTCCTGGCCACAGGACAGTTTGAAAGCCATGTCCTTGTGTGCCCAAGCCTTGCTGTGCTGGCTGGTGATGCAGTCAATGGTTGTGGGTTGAACAGAAACACTTTGAGCTGGTGAGCAGTGTCTTTGCCATTAGTGGCACCTGTAGAGATCTCATCCTACTGCAGGACATTCCATAGAGTCACATAGAATGGTTTGGATTGGAAGGGGCGTCTAAGGTCATCTAGTCCAGTTCTCCCTGCAATGAGCAGGGATAGCTTCAAATTGGATCAGAATAATAATGAATAGCTTCCTTATTAATAGAGTCTAAATAAACATTAATGGTGTGTGATTGTGTCCTCTCTGGTTGTTTTGGCGAGGTGCTGGGCTGCTGGGGGCTGTACCTAGGGTGGGAGCCTTGTGGGAGAAATCCAGGGGAGGCTCAGGGGCAATCCCTCTCGGATGGTTGCAGGGGCAATCTGCCTGGCTGTGCCTTTGCACAGGGGCTTGTTGAGCCACAGTGCGAGTTTGCAGGGCTGCTGCTTTGCTCTCACCCTGCTTCAAGGAGAAAAGTATGCGGTCAGCACCCACCACACACATGCAAGCCCCCACGCTGCGGAAGCGAGCAGCTTCCCCCGGAGGAAGCGCGAGGAGCCGGTGTCAGCCCCCACCGCTGCTTTCGTAATGGGAGCTGCACAATCGCAGGAAGTGGAGCAGAACCAGGGTGCTGCAACAGCCACCGGGTGGGCCTTGCCTGCTGTGGGGTTGCTAAATTCAGGATTGTCCCTGGGTCTGGTTGGGGTCACTGGGTCCACAGGAGGCACTGGCAGACCCTGAGCTCAGGCTGCAGAGCCCAGTGCAGGATTTGGGGGCATGGGAGCTCAGCAAAGCAGTGGGTGCAGGAAGCTTCGCACTTGCATCCCACCCAGGGGACAAAACCGAACAAGATGTGAAACGACATTGTGTCTGGAGGGGAGACAGCCAAGGAGAGGCTCATCCAGGGCCTCTGCCTCAGGACAGGTAGCAGCATGCTCCCAGCAGAGCTGGGTCACAGCTCTACCCTGGCCAGGACTGACAGCCCTTGAGCATCACCAGGGAACCACTGGAGGTATGCACGGCATCAGGAAGGTCTAGGACCCCATCTACACTTCAGTTTAATTTTCTACAGTTTGAGACCAGGGTGTGTAATGCCCTTCCATACTTTAGTTTCATTTTTTGCAGTTTGAAGCCAAAGTACGTAATGTCCTCTTCCCACCCTACTTTCATTTTTGCAGTTCAGGGTCGATGTGTGTAATGGCCTGTTCCCCCTTTAGTTTCATTTTTTGCAGTTCAAGCCAGAGTGTGTAGTGTCACAGATGTTACACAGTGTCCCTGACCCAGCACTAATCAATATCAAATGAGCCATCTGAAGTAATATGCAGTGGTGGTCCCAGCAAAGTTGGGAGCAGCCACGTGAGCTGGTGTTTGCCTGGGTATGATGGGGTCACTATCGCTCTTTGTAGCAGTCTGGCTTGCTTGGCAAGATGTCAGGAAGGGAGATAACTCTGGGAGAGGAGGCTGGGAGCCAAGAGCTGGGAGTTTTGGGGAGGGTTCCATGGTCTCAGCTAATAATGACCCAGGTCTGCTATTTTTCATTGCTTTCTGTGCTCTTGTGTCAGTCCCACAGCAAGTAGCTCTGAGCTGGGGAGAGAAATGAAGCTCAGCCTGGACCTCATGCCTTAGGTTAAAGGGCAGCAATGATTAAAGGGTTCATAATGAGTTTTTTGGCTGAGGACTTGATTTTATCAAGTGGAGGAACAGGAGCCAGCTGATATTCCTGCCACCTTCCTGGTTCTCTTTGCTGCAGATCCCCGTTCTTTTTCCTAGCATGCTACGGGGTCAGAGCATGGTCTGCATGTGCCCTAGTGCTGCTTGCATGCACACACAGCCCCACACTCTGCCTTAGGTCTGTGGTATGGTCCCAGATTGTGTCCCCACCTTGTTCCTTCTGTTATGCCCAAGGTAGACCTGTATCTCCCCGATGTCCTAGCAAGTGCCTTTGTCATCATTGTGGGACTAAGCTGGCAGACTGGAAGTATGAGCTTTTCAGGGCAAAATATCCCGGACTGTCCTTGGCAAGTCCCAGATGGAAACAGAATCTTTTTTGCTTGGTGACTCCTCAAGTACTAGAGTATCTTCTCCTTTCCGTGATAGTGATGTATTGAAAATTGTGAAAACATAAAATGAAATTTGCTTTCTATTGCTAAGGAAGTCCTGGGCTGTGTAATCAATGCAAAACGCTTCGTGATCATGGTTTTAAAGGAATCAGGTTTGCCCTTTTAAGAAAAATGAATTAGGGTTTCTCAGAGAGATGGAAAATTCAGTCAGTAGCAGAAACAAGATTGTATCCACCTTTTCAAGGGAAATCTAAATCCTGTGTCATCATCCATCCTATTTTTATCCACTAGCACCAGCTGCTGGATATTGGTGGAAACAGAAAAACTAACAGAAATCTGAAAACTGGTTTAAAAAGCAGCTGGAAATACAGTGATGGAGCCACTGCCTCCTTCCAGCTCTCACAGTTGGGCACCTCAGCCGTGGGCCTGCTGAACCCCCAGTGGTAATGTTTGGCGAAGTTTCTAAAGCAGAAGGCAGAGAGGTCGGGCTGTGATGCCTAAAAAAGTCCAGCCAGTGCCAGATGTGCCCTTCCCCTGTTTTCTTCCCTTGGCCACGTCTGGACATCTTGGCTGGAGGCACACCCCAATGCATTGCTCGTGGGACACAGCTGTGCCGAAGGGACTCTTGGTGTGGGGTATTTGGGAGCTTTTTTGGCCTGGGATGGGAGGGCAGCTGGCAGCCAGCCGCAGCTGCACATCCGCCGGGGCTGGGAACCGGAGGCTGGCGGCTCTGCAAGAGGCGTTTGCAACACCCCGTGCGTTCGGGCACCCGGGAGCTTCCTGTGCTCGGCTCCCTCGGGGAAGGCTCTGCAGTACTGGCTGTGCCTTATCCTCCTGCCTGGCCACAGCCCGGTTTGTCCCCCACCTCTAGGGACATCTGGGAGTGACCCCTAGGGACTTGTTACCCAGAGCCGAGCTTCAGGTTTGCAGGCACAGTGCTGCTGTACACTGCCAGGGAGGGGAGCTGGGGCAGTCGCCATCCCCAGGGACTCTGCTGGCCTCAGTCTTGTCTTTTTCAGTCTCAGTGCAGCATGAAGCCTCCCTGTGGGAGGGTGGCTGCTCGGTGAGACAAACCCCACAAGTCTGAGGCAGGGCAGAGGACAGAGCCAAGCCCTGAATTCCCACAGAAACCCTTTATTTGGTGAACTTGCCTAAGAAAGCATGAACCTCTGGGTTGAGGTTGCACCTCAAGTGAGCATATTGGTGCGGGCAAAGTCTGCCTAGGCACTCCTTGCCATCCTGAGCCTGCTGGATTTTCCCACTTGCTGTTATTTTATCCGTGTGAAGGTGCTGGTGCCAATCCTGCAGAAAACACTAAATCAGATGGGGTCGTGCATGCTTCGGAGGGTAGAGGGGAAACCCAGGGGGAGCATTGTGTGGCTGATTGAGGTACTACGAGTTCCAAAAGCCTGTAGCAGAGGCTGTGCCAGGTGCTGGCATCTTTTCCTCCTCTCCCTGCTGTGGAGAGTGAAAAGAAGGCCCTAGAGAGGGCTTTCTGTGGCCAGAGCCCATCCAGGGATCCCCCATCCTGAGGCACATCTGGCATGCAGGCGTGGACCATGCTACATGGATGCTCCATAACCCTTGCATATCACTGGTGACAAACCATTCCACCCTCACAGTCCTCCCATGCTTCACCCTGTGGGATTTCTCTCTTCTCCAGCCTGAGTTGCAGAAGATTCTGGCAGAGCAGTGGCTGGGACCCAGCACTCACCGGGTGGCTTTCCAGTCCTCTGCAGGACTGTCGGCTGCCTCTCGCAGGAGCCACAGGGCATGCAGGGTCTCCTCTCCCTTGGTGTCCACATAGCACTGGCCCAGGAAGACACTTCTCCGGGCAATCTCTGAGTCTGGAAGGGTTTAAGTTGATGTGGGTCAGGTAGTTAGGCACAAGGTCACCCTGTGTCCTGCTGGCATTCCTGCCTGCAGGATGATGGCCCCATGCTGCCTACCTTGGAGCCTCCAGCTCACAGTGAAGAAGAAAATGGGCTGTGGGACCAGCCCTGTATCTTGCTGGGACCCCTCCAGTGGTAAGGAGAGGAGTTCTGAGTAGCCAGCAGCAGGTCCTGGCAGGTAAAAACCGGAGAATCTGTTGTCCTTGTCCAGGGTGGACACAACCAACTGGCAGCTGGTGTCACTCCGCCACGACCCGGAGAGAAGGCACTGCAAGGCCAGTGCTGTGGGTTGGAAGGAGGCAGAGGGGGGAGCATCCTGCTCCCACTCCTTCACCCTGGCTCTGCCCAGAGATGTCTGCAGCAGTGGGTGGTGTGCCATGGTACCTGATGTGCCACTGGCATCACCATCTCAGTGTGAACATCGTGCCTGAGCTATGATTGCATTCAGCTCAGCCGTTCTCCAGGATGGTTTCACCCACCCAAGGGAGAGTGAGTCCCCCAATGCTGGAGCTGCAGGTGTGCTGCTTTCCCTACACTCTGGAGAGGGGGAAACAGGAGCTGTCTGGGATATGGCTCTGTTTGCCTTCCTCTGAATGACTTCCTGCAGCAAGAAGCGTCCTTGTAGGAGCAGCCCCTTCCTCCCAACCTCATTGCAGCTTCCCTCAGAGCGGCACAGTGCTGTTCCCACCAGCTCCAGCAGCCCAGCCCGGGCTCCCTGCTGAGGTATGATGCCCCAGCAGCAGACTTTGGGGTCTAGCAGGATATCAGCCCCACATCCCCACTATCATCTGTCCCCATACCTTCCTCTCCACGGGGGCAACACACACTGCCAGGGCAAGGGCGAGCACCAGGGCAAAAGCACTTCTCCCCATGGCTGCAAGCTGCTAGGAGCTCCTCCTGTCTGTGGAGCCCAGCACCCTTTATAGGGCTGTAACTGGAGCCCCACCAGCACCAGGATGGCAGCTGTGAGATGAATGTCTTGATGTCAGGGTGCCCGGGACAGGCGAGGGAGGTGAGCAGGTCTTAATGACCTGGTCAGGGCTGGAGGAATGCAGGAATAAGCACGGCTGGGCAGAGGGGTGGGGACACATAAGGCCCTATAGTAGCCTGGAAAGCATCAATACCTTCTTTGGGAAACTGCCTCCCATGCACAAAGGCTGAAAACTGCCACCTATTTCAACATTTACCCTCTCCCTGCTTTGCTGCTGCCACCGCCTGACGAGGATGCTGCAGCGCTGCACAGAAGGGAAAGTTTATTCATTTTAGAAGCAGTAACATTTCTCCAGCCTCCTGTGGATGTCAGCTACTGATTTTGACACTTTTGCTTTTACTTTTGTGAGAGAGGAAGAAGTAACTGCAGCAGTGCTACTGAGGTCCCAGGGAGTGTGTTTGCTAAACACACAGAGAGTGATAAGCAGCATTGTATTCACACTTCTTCCTCGTATTTGCTGCTCTAAAGGACCTTTAATGTGAAAAATGCAGCGTTCACTGTCCCTGTCTTCCTGAGCCATGCCTTTGCTGTGATGCCTGGAGCAGGCATATGGCTAGGAAAATTCAGGTGGGACTCAGCTGAATCAATACCTGCTGTGTTCAAGACAGTGGTGTTTGGGGCAGGGCATGGAAACAGGGCTGTAGTGTGCAAACTGGGGGTGGAGGAGTGCCCCTTTGGGGTGGCACCTCTCAATGTCCACTGCTAGGCACATCCTGGCACCCTGCGCTCAGCACATCTCTCTCTAATCTAGGTAACCTCAAAAGCTGGGCTGAGTGGAAAACATCTCTCTCCTAACACGTCCCTCCTCCTTTTTGTCTTTTTCAGTCCCAGACTCATGGCCTATCCACAGGTACTCAGAGACATTTCCCCTGGGGATTCTTTTGCTGTTGTCCTGGATGCCACACTCTGTTCTTTTGGCCTGATGCCAGCTGCTGCCTTTCTGTGATGTTTGGCAGGGACAAGCCACCTTGTTAGAGATCCCAGGGTGGTGCCAGGTTTCCCCCACTTCATGGCACCATGCTGCAGCTTTGCTAGAGCTGGGCCAGGCTTAGTGGACTGTGCAGCCCCGGTGCTGTCATCCCTGGGTCTGGGGTATTTTTGTAGCACTTCTGCAAGAGGCTTTCTCTTCACCCACAGACCTGCCAAAAGCTTTGTGTCAAAAGAGCTGACTAAGTTTGGCAGGTGTCCACAGAGGCAGATAGAGAGGCATTGGCAAAATGCAATGGTAGAGAAGGGGAAAATCCCTGAATGTAACCCAGGGGGATAGGATGGGATGGGATGGGATCTTTAACTTGTGCACATTTTACTTGAGGTGCCATCCAGTACAAAGTTAATTAGCATTTCAAATCTACTGATAATGCTGCCTCCATTGCCCACCCCAACAGAGCTTGGACTCCCAGTACTGGAAAGGGTCTGGTGGGAATGGATATGAAGGCACTGGAAGGAAGTGAGCTGAATTCAGGATGCTGCTGCTGGCCCTGCCACCATCAGGCAGGTGGGGAATGATGACACAGAGTGGAGTTTGGATTTAGATGAGGTGGGGAATGAGCCCAGGGAGGCAGATGGGTGGGATCAGGGAGTGATGCAGATGTCCCTGCAGAAGGGCAGTGGTGAGACCTCACCTCAGCAGGGGCATCTTTGGAGACAGAAGGTGTAGCAAGGACGGACTCTAAGAAAAGGCAGCAACAGCTGATGATTTTAAAATTTTATTCTCAACTGGGAGGTAGGTTTTTCTTGCCTTGTTGAGGGGCTAGGCTGCAGCCAGACCATCCCATCATGGGCCTGGAGACACAGCCTCACAGGGAGGGGACAAGTTTGGCAGGATCTTTCCTTTTGTGGTGCGTTTGCGTGTGAAGACATTTCTGCCCACCCTGTGAGAAGTTGAGAGTTCCTGTAGGATGACCCACAGACACTGCCTGCTCAGAGCTGCCAGTGCTTGCAGCAGTGATGGGGTGTCCCTGAATTCCCCCGAAGTTTCCTCAAGGGGGGACCCCTCTGTGGGACTGGTGTCACCCATATTCCCCCACTACCTTGTAGCTTTCCAGTCCTCCTCAAGTGACCCAGCAGCTTCACGCAGCAGCCACATGGTGCTCAGTATCTCCTTTCCACCTGCATCCACAAAGCATTGCCCCACGAAGGCGGTGGTGGCATCTGGGAGGAAGCACTTATTGGGAGATCCATGGGGAAACTGGCTTCTTCCCATACCCCACTGTCCTCCCAGATGCAGCTGTGATCCTGCTCCAATGGCCACACATCCACCAAACCCATGCTGGGGGGGTCCTGCCCTTCCCTGTGGCTCCCTCAGGGAGGCAGGATTTGTAGCACCACATCCCAATTGTGCTAACAGGGTCTGGAACCACTGCGGTTGCCCCAAGGATGCTGGGTGAGGAGGGGCTCCCCTGTTCAGGCCCAGCATTGCCCCTTTAGCACCATGCTGTGCAGGTGTTGCTGCTTAGCTGCACCAAAGCATCACCCAGCTGAATTCCTGGTGAAAGAATATTCCTGCTGGCCGCATGCGTGGCTTCCATTGACACTGCCGTGCCATCCCCAGGTGTCCCAGCACTTACTGGAGAACTTGTCCCAGCGGACAGTGAAGGCAAAGGTGGGCCAGCCCTCCTCTCCAAGCTGCTGCTGGGCACCCCGCAGGGGGGAGATTTGGGCACAGCCCCCAGAGAGGGTGACTCGTGTAAGGTATTGTCCCTGGAAGTCCCCGTTGTCCCTCAACACCGAAATCTCCATCAGAGAGTCCTGGTCATTCCTCCACAGTCCGCTGAGCTGGCACTGAAGGAATACAGCCACGTACTCTCTGTGCCCCCGCGTGCAGAGGGACCCCATCCCTGCTGCTGCCCCACACCAGGGGAGCCACAAGCCCTGCTGAGAGTGCAGCTGCAGGGCATTGGCTGTCCCTGATCCTGCTTTGGGGAAATGCTGCCCCAGGTGCTGCTGAGAGGATGGTGGAGCAAGGCCAGGATATCCCAGCCCTGCAGCATGCAGGGTACACCCAGACACAGACCCAGACGTGTCGGATGCACGGTGCTCCCAGGCACAACCCCCAAGGGAAGGAATGCCCTGTGCATGGCTCCCTCATGGGAACAAATCTTTCTGGAGCTGGTACAAGGTGGCTGAGGGTGATCCAGGGATACCTTGCCCTCTGCCTGGACTTGGTTCTTGCAAGACTCTCCTGCTTGTCTAAGCCTAAAATGGCATTTAAAGGAGAACTCCTGGCTGCCCACACTGTGTCCCATTGCCATGTCTGCCACGCTCCCACTGTCACCCATCCCCGTACCTTCCTCTCTGCAGGAGCAAGACTCTCTGCCAGGGCCATGGCGAGGGCGAGGACCAGGATGAAAGAGCCGCCCCCCATGGCTGCGGGGCTGCGAAATACCCGGCGCAGCTCCCTCTCTGCTGCATCCCAAACCCCTTTATAGAGCTGTAACCGGAGCCATGACGGCTGGCAGCCGCGGCTTGGGTGTCCTGATGTCAGCGTGCCCTGGCCGGGTGAGGTGAGGAGGTCTGCCTGACCTGGGCACGCCGGAGGAACGCGGGGGTGGGCACGGCTGTGCGGGGAGGGGGCGATGCAGGGATGATTTACACAGCCGCTGTCCAAGAGGCTCCGCCGGCCCCGTTCCTTGCTCAGTGCCGGAGCCCTGGGGGCAGACACGGCCTGACACTGTCCCGCTGCCACCGAGCCAGTGCTGACACCTAAACACAGGCTGGAGCAAGAGCAGCCCGGCCAGCTGTGCCCTGCTGCACCGACTGGTGTCGCGTGTCTGCAGGGGCTCATCCCTGTCACCGTCCCCTCCTGCTGCTCTTTCTCAACTGTTTTTTGTCCTGGCTGTGCTGGGCTTTCCTCGGGTTTGGGACCTAAGACTGTCACTGCAGCGGGAGTTCTTGAATCAGCCATTCTTGCAAGTGCAGAATGGCTTTCCTGGAAGAAATGCAGATGTTAAAATTCGCTTATTCCTGTGGGAGGGTGTGTTCTGTGCACAGCGCTGCCCTAGACACCGTGGGAGCCGATGCCATATGCATGATGCTCTGAGGCTGGGCAGGGCCCTGTCCCTGTCTGACCCTTCCCAAGGACTTCCTGATGGTGCCAGACTGTAATGGGGGTGCTCAGACTGCCTGGCATATGCACAGGGGCACGGCACAGAGACATCCCCTAAGATACCACTCTAACCAGGTGAACATGTCACTCCCAACTATGCAGGGGAACATAGGAGTGGCATCTGGCTGGTCCAGTTCATTAGGTGCCTCTCTGGCCCCTGCCCAAGCACAAGGGGTGAGATCTGCTTTGACAATCGTTCTCCTCTTTCCTGGGCCTGAAGACAAGGAAACCCACTCTCCTCTTCCTCAGGGAGCAGGATTCTGTGTTCAAATTGCACTTTACTTTTAATAAAAAAATTACAGGGCTGTGTTCAACTCCCATCCTGGGGACTTGCTGTAAAAGTGCTTGGCATCTTGACACCACTCTCCCCTGCTTGCTGCCCAGCTGGCTCCCAGCACGCAGAACTTGGAACTCCCCTGTGGGCTCCATGCAACACCCCCAGGGCAGCACCAGCACAGAGCAAGGGTGGACAAGTGCCCTGCAGCCCACCCACTAGCTTTGCTGTCATCCTTGAGCATGTCAGCCTCATCTGCAGGATCCACATGGTCCTTCAGTATTTCCTTTCTCTCCTCATCTGTGAAGCTTTGGCCCATGGAGGCGGTGATGGAGCCTGCAGTCCGTGATGGGATGGGATGGGATGGGATGGGATGGGATGGGGCTGTCCCTCTTAGGCACCCAGTTTGTCAGTGGGAAAGGCTGCTTGTGGGTGGGTGATGTTTCCCTCCCCAGCCTCCTGTCCTGCTGGGACCTTGAACAGGCATGGGATATGCAGGGCATGGTGGCATGAGCCCAGCTGAGCTGGACATCGCAGGAAGGGCAGGGATACTCCAGGGTCATCTCAGTGGACACCAGAGGAGCTCTGAGAATACAAGAGGGAGGCTGGGAAAGGAGAAGCACCTGAAAATCTCTAGTTGACAGCTGAAGGTGGGCTGGCTCTTCTGGTTCATCGAGTGTGTCACCTGCAGTGGTGACACCCAGCCTCGTCCATGGTGTGTGCAGCAGCCAGTGAAGTTGCCTTTTCTGTGCACAGCCAAGATGGTTACATTGGAGGTCAGTGACCCAGTGCCTGGTCAGGGTGCAGTGCAGTGGAGGGGACTCAGCCCTGGTGCCACAGCACAGCCTGGGTGGGGCAGGGTGGCAGGAGTGAGTAACCCTCTGAGCCATGTAGGGTGAGCTGGACAGGCTGCAAGTTCCTCATCCACACAAAGGGTTATACTGACCAATTCCATGAGCTCATCTGTAGGGTGGGGTGAAAAACACATCTGGGAGGGTGCCCTGGTTCCAAACCAGACCCAGGAAGGGCTGAGAACATAACTGAGGTGCTCCTCCATTCTCTAAGGATGGCAGTCTGTGGTTGGCAAGGCTACAGCTGGAACAGGGCCATGGAGAGAGGAAGAAGAACAGAGAAAAATGTGTGGTCCTGACCAGAAGACCATGTAGAAGTGGTGGAGAGGATGGGAGCTATGTGTCCCCACTCATCAGTGAAGTTATGGCTTGAAAATTGAATTTATTCTTTTGTCATTGCTGCAGAGCGGAGGGGTACCAGGTTTTGCTACACCAAAACCCACCAACCATGCAGTCCCTTGAGCGCCCTGGGAATTCCCTGCCTCCATCTGCTTAGGTGGGTCAACAGCTGCACTGAGAGATGTTGGGCACCACGATGTTCAGCATTGAGACATTTGTAGACGGTTGACAGGAGCAGTTCCCGCAGAAAACGGTTGCGTAGGACAGTTTTCCACATGTGGTTAAGACATGTAAGTGCTGGAGGACTCCTGCAATTGAGGCTCTTTCTCCATTCTAACAGTGACTTCAGTGCTTGAAGGGATTTGATCCTTATGCAAGCATCACCCCAAGATCCTAATAAGTTCATTTTTTGGGTTTTTTTTTTTTTTAAACTGATGCACTATGTGTGTGAACAGCTGTGCCACACAGCCATGTCCCTGTGATTTCAGGTGCCTCCTGCCTCCACCAGCTCCAGCTGCCCCTGGAGGCATTCACAATGTGTGAATGACCCTGATCAAGCCCTGTCATGCAGCAGAAACAGCAGGTTTTCCTGCAGTGGGGCTGGAGGGGAAGCCCTGCTCACATTTGCCTCTCTGATGAGGCCATGCTAGAGGGAAACAAATGGTGCTGGGTTTGCAGATCAGCACCATGAGCAGGTCTGCAGATGAATACAACTCAGAGCTGAGGGGTGCTGAATGTCCACAGGGAAACATCCCCATCCTTAACCACTCCCAGACGCCTGCAGTCACCCCCAGGTCCAATCACCTGTCACCCCACACCAGAGGTGTGCCAGGGATGCGTGGCAGCCAGGCTGGGTGCCCCCGTGTAGGGACTGGCCTTGGAAATAACTCTGCCAGCTCCTGCCTGCCGTGTTCCTCACCAGTGCTGTGGCTGCCTGCCGGGGTTTGCAGGATGCTCCAGCTATGGTCAGCCCTGCTGCCTTGCTGAAGCACTCTGGGAATGCTGCACAGCCTCTGGGAGAGCCTGCCCTGGGGAAATGCTGGCGTGAAGGCAATAATGAGGTCAGGAGGATGCAGGCAGGGAGGTTGGAGGCTTAGGGGGCACCTCACTGCTGAGCTGGTCACGCTTCAGGTGAGAGCAGAGTCCTGCACTCCCCCTGCCTCTCACTTTCCCACTTCTCAGACTCCTCTAAAAACACGTAAAAAGCCGTGCAGATACATAAATGCATAACAGAGGGCTGGTGTAAAGACATTCTGGTCAGAAATGCTGCAAGGGAACTGAAAAAGATGGAGAAATGCCAGTGAGGCACGGAGAAGGGAACAGCAGCACCACTCTGGAAGCGGAAGATGAGCCCCAGTGAGAAAGAAGCAAACCACATGTGAGTTTGCAACAAGGCAGGCAAAAACACAGAGCAGGCAAACTTGCTAAAGCCACAGGTGCTGTTAGCAAAGCTCTCCCACCCACAGCCTTTGTGGCAGAAAAGCCAGGGGAGCAGAGGGGGGTGGCAGCCCCAGCAGCTCAGTCATGCTTTTAAGTTCATCAAATCCAGGCAGTGTGCCAGCTCAGGGCATGCTGCACTGTCCCCGGTTATTTTGAGAATCAAAGACACAAGGACTAAGTTTCACATTCAGGCCCAGAGCTGATTTCCTGGAAATCATTTTCTTTGGCTTAGAGGAGTGCCTAAGGCAGCAGAGGCACTTCCCGTTTTGGTCAGCCACATAGTCCATTGGGCAGAGATTCGAGAGGCTGTCTTTACTGGTCATTAGCTTTTCAGTAAATCACATTTCCCAGAAAGGGTTTTGGGCTGGGTGTACTGCAGCTACTGGCCCTGTGTGGCTGGTACAGAGCAGCCCTTGGCACTTTTCAGGAGTGTGGACACAGCCAAGGCCCCTCACCTGCCTGCTTAAGGGCTGTGTCAGAGCCAGGGGCCTCCCAGCCAGGTTTTTGGGGTGCAGAAGAGCTCCCCAGCTCACCCTCCCATCACACTCACCAGGCTTTCAACAGGAAAGAATGAGTACTGGTCACAGTTAGTGTCAGAGGGTTACTTTGGGGTTGCACTGTCCTGTTTGGGCTGGAAAAGGGGCTTTCTTGGGGCCAGTCTCTTCCCAGAACAAGGGAATGAGAGTTTCGTCCCACACCCACCCCACACCGTGTTTTAGCCCAGCTTTTCCAGGACATATCCACAGACTGCACAAGGTTGCATTTAAATATTTCTAATTTTATTTGGTATTTTTTGAGACATCTTCCTCTAGAGCTGGAAACATCAGGGCATGCTGGTACACGAGGCTTCTGAGGGGACTCCTGTCTCCCGAGTGTGGCCAGGATAAGGTGCAGTGCAGTGTGGCAGAGAAGGCAGTGCTTCTCCCTCCTTCAGCCCGTTCGAGTGAAGGTGTTGTGGCCGGTCCTGTGGGGAAGCAGCGGCCCCTTGGTGTCCAGCCAGCAGCAGGGTAGGGATCCCAGATGGACTGGGGAACCCTGGCTCACCTGGTGGCTTTCCAGTCATCCGTCTCCGAGTCGACTTTCTCCCGCAGCAGCCAGGAGGTGTGCAGGACTTCCTTCCCATCATCCCCGTTGAAGCACTGGCCCACGAAGACAGCTGTGGAGTCTAAAGCAGTGGTAGCTGTCAGCATCCCAACAGGACCCCAGCTGATTTTAGAGCTTCACAGGCATTGGTGAGTTTAGGGCTCATGGAGCCTGAGTGGATCCCGATATTTGCAGGAAATGCTGTGTGGCACAGGTTTTGTCAAAGCAACCCTTGGTGCTCCTCACCCAGACCTTGTTTTGGGAGGTGTACTGCTGTCTGCAGACACCATCCAGAGTGGGGAGAGATCAGGGAAGGAGGGACAGAGGACA